CAGAAACAAATGCCAGCAATATTTCTGGCTGCTTTGGGGTAATTACGGTCAGTAGCCGAACTCTGAATGCTGAGCAGGCCAGCTAAGGCACCAAACCCTCAACAGAAATGACACAGAAAGGAAGAAAGCAAAAACTTCCAAAAATGCCTCAGTGATTTGGGCACCCAAGAGACACAGAAGGGGCTGAGACCCAGATTTTTAAGGTTATGTAGCTGTGCAACTCCTATGGACTTCCAGTGAGACCATAGACCCTTTAAAATGTAGGATTCTTCTGAAAACAGGACCTCATATGCCTGTGGTTTTCAACCTTTTTACATTTGTGGACCTCTTAAAAATTTCAAATGGAGATGCAGACCCCTTTGAATCATAAGTGTGAGTATTCCCATACTTTTCACTGATCTTAGTCATCTTCCATGCACCCCTTAGACAGGGGTCCTGTGGACCAGAGGTTGAAAACCAGGCATATACATAAGACACTTTTTTGGCACCGATGAGTTGCAGTCTCCTTGTGGGTGGCTGGAAACCAAAGCTGAGGATACGTATGGGGACGTGTTGGTTGTAGCTGTGTTGATCTAGGGACATAGGCAGACAAAGTTCTTGGGGTAAATGTGATATCTTTCATTAGACCAAGTTGGGAAATTTGTCTTTGCAAGCTTTCGAGCACAAACATGCTTCTTCAGGCATAGGGAGAGAACAGATACATGCTTCTGTTTCAGCCGACGATGGTCCTGATCCCACTGCAGAGAATCTGTCCCCAAGCAGGTACAGCATGTTACATGCTTCAGGGTGAACAGCCCTAGAAACACAAGCGACTGACTACAGATCTGGTGCTGTCATTTCCATGCCCCTCCTTATCCATGGGGCAGCTCCCAGGATCCCAGCTCCCAGGCAGAAAGTGAGAGAGTGATGCTTGGAAAGCTGCAGTCGCTATTTATAACGAATGCTGGCAATGTGCCTTTAAATCTCATGCAACTCATGGCCCTGCTACTCATGTAAAAGTCCCTCCCTGATGCATCTTCCCAAGCAGCACCGGGATGCTGGAGCTGGTGCGTGGCAATATCCCACCATAACAAATGAGTCGGACATCCTCCGTGCCATGCTCAGCTTCAGCAAATCACATCATGCCTGGCCTAAGTGGCTCTCCCTTGATAGTTTGGGCAGTTTAAAAATATAGCAAGTTCCTGGAGGGACTAAAACCCAGGGCATCCCCTTCTGAACCAGCGTGCTCATGCCAACCATACCAGCTCAGGGAGAACGCAGCCAGACCTGACAACCTCCTTACCAACCGCATCATATGACCACAGCACGCTATCATTACTGCAAGAAACCATGCACTTACCATTGTTTCCAGCAGAGTTAGCCTATCATTAGGCTAAGCAATTTGCTGTATTTGCCATGTAATTACACAGCCGAGGCAGTATTTACCCAGTCATTAGAAGGTAATTTCTCTGTAGTTACCAATACGCTGGAGGTTTCAGAATATGGAACATTGCCCCAGGGCTGCTACCTGCCAGCCCAACCTCTGCGAACGAGATACAGATTCTTCTCGGGCTGTTTAATTTAGTCCTGTAACTCCCCCTCCCCATTAGAGGATGAGGATGGAGAAGAGAGAAGAAAGAGATGGGAATGTGAATATCCCAGGGAAGGAGAAAGGCTTGTCTGAAGTCTGAGAGACTCAGGAGATATGAGCTCCGTTTTCAGCTCTGCTAGAGACACCCTGCAGATGCAAATTGCCCCCCATGCCGCTGCACCCAGGATATAAAATGGAAATAAAAGCCACTTCCTTCCATCCCTGTTCATGTCCATTTGGATTATGAGCTCTCTGGAAAAAAGAGAGACTTGTTGTGTGAACAGCACCCAGCGCTATAGGGGTGCAGTCCTGGTTTCAGCCTCTACTGGAATGCAAAGCAACTGAATTCTCCGCTAAATGAAAGGGAGTTGGTGGTAGGTGGGAAAGCCGGGGGATTTGTCATCAAGCCCATGAAGTTAATGCAAGGGACAAGTACTGCCCTGACATCCTGGAGGCTGAAACAAAGGAGATGCACCAGGGACCTCATCCCACCATCCTGCAGGGTGCAGTTGTAAAGGGGGTTGTCCATGCTGATGAAAAAGCCTTTCATATTACCTCTCTGCTCTTTTGGCCATGTACAGGCTGCTTGACCATGATTCCCAGGACAAGGTCTCTGCTGTCTGGAGTAGTCACTTGACTGGAGAGTGAGAAAGAGAAGAAGGTCGGGAGAAGGTCCAGTTCCTGGGGGAGACCAGGTGGGTCCAGTGCCCAGGGTGGTGCATCAAAGGAAGCTCCAGGGTCTGGGGCCTGTCAGAGGGCAAAGGATGGGGCCAAAGGGCCCAAGTCCAAAAAGAGGGAAGTATGTCAGTAGGGATAGAGAGCACATGAGGTCTAGAGGCCAGGAGGAGTGAGAGCTGGGGCTGGGAACGCATCCCATGAAAGGTATATGTCAGCAGATCACCCGCAAGGCTTGGGAGTGGGAATTGAGGAGGATGGAGCCCACAAAACTAGCCCTTAAGGCAATGGTTATGAGCACCTGTGGTCCTAAGAGTAAGACTAGGCTTAGAAAGCCCTGGGCAGCCTCCCTTTTATTAGAAATGAATAACATCAAGGCATGGCAAGCGAGTAAAGGGGAGATGGCCCCAAGGCAAACCGGGTTGACAAGGGCTGAGTATCAGGGGCATCACAACCACTCCAAGGATGGGCATTTGCTACTCTGGGTCAGTATCTGTCCCCCTGGCCCACAGGAGCTCACCAAAACTGCCCCAGGGCCCAGCCCCACATTGTCACCACCTGGGCCCAGCCGTAGGGACTGGCTTGGGACCCACGTGAGCAGGGAATGCTTGGCTGGGTGGATGGGATGGGGCTGTGGGTGGGCGGGCAGGGGGTGGCATGCAGGAGGGAGCTGGGGTGGGCAGGGCCAGGACTGAGATCGTGATATGGTGCCCATCACAGGGACGTGCAGGCATCAGATCATGACTCTGCTCCAGGCTCTGGCCCCATGCCATCATCATCCCATGATCTTGCCCTCACCTGCCTGTCCCAGTCCTGGATGCTGCTTCCTGCCTGTCCATGACCCAATCCCTGCCAAGCACACCTTGGCCATGGGGTCCCAGGCTGGTTTCCATGGAGACCCCATCTTCCCACTCCATTGGGCAGCCCCCGCAGTGGGTGCAGGGTGGACGGGTCAAGGTGCCTGGCTAGTAGGGCCAGGTCTGATGGCAATGGTAGAGACTGGCAGGGAACAGCTGGAAGGAGCCACTGCTGCAGGGGCTGCCAAAAAGCAAGTCTGACCACTGCACTGCTTCATGCCTGGGGGCAGTGGGATCAGCCTGGTCTGTCCCCCTGCACCTTGGCCAAGGGAACTGCCATGGCCCCAATAATAGCTTATTCTCCCCCTCATTAAAGGTCCTTCCCCTTATGCAGGAAGTGAGAGATGGGAAGAAAATAAATTGCCTCAGCCAAGCAAGCCATTCTAGTATCTACCAGGAAGACGATAGGAAGATGGACTATCCGGGAACCATTCCCTTGAGTTCCTAGCAGCTGCATTCAGTCATACCAGGTCTGAATCTGGCATAACATCTTTCTTTCCCATTCTTGGGCGGAAACAGAAGTCCCCAGGTCTCTGAGCAAGCACCCATGGATAACCTGCAAAGTCTTAGCAAATAAATCTTCTCTCCCTAGGAGAGGGCTTTACACTTGGTGCTCTGCAGGAGCTGTTGCTGAGCGTGCAATAGTTGCCAGGGCTCCTACGTATCTCCAACCCCACGAGGGCCTCCTCCTGCACTTTGGAAATAGCTATGAGAGGCCTCAGAAAGGTCAGAAGCAGCATTAAATGCGATTCTGGTCTCTGCTAAAACCAGAGGTCTTTGCCGCCTGCAAAGATGCCTAAGTATAGACTCAAGCAACTTGTGAGCCTGAGGAGCTGTCATTTGCCAACTGCTGGGAACTCCTTAACTAGAAAACGGCAGCAGCAGCAGTGAGGCAATGGCCAAGTTCCAGCAGAGAAAAAGCATCAAACCTTATCGTTTCTTGCAAAGAAATTGCTAACAGAGACCTCTACAAGCAAGACCAACAACAATCCACTTCCCCATGCCTGACACGCCTCTTTACAGAATTGAACGGTTTCATTCACATTCACATGGTCTCTCTCCTTTTGTAGTTCGATGCTAAAATAATAATGACACCAAGCTCTTATCTGGCACGTTTAATCAGCACATTGCAAAGCTCTTTGTGAAGGAGGTCAGCATCATTCTTTGCCTTTTGCAGATGGGGAAAATGAGAAAAAGGGAGGTGAATTGAGCTGGCCAGTAGCACAAGCTGGAAGATAACTCGGGTCTCTTGACATGCAATCCAGTGCTCTACCCTCTAGACTAGGTCACATATTTAACAAGACACCCTTGTACAGCACTGGCCATCACTGCGGTTCATAGTGCATTAACAAATGGGTCCTCAAGGTTAAGAAACTCTACACAGCCCCTTATATCACTCAGTTGGAAGATGCTGGTGATTTTTTTACCATGCGTACAACTCTTCTGCCCATAGTTTCCCTTTCAGTAAGAAGTCTGGCAGCTGGGTGACTTTTCTAAACACTCCTTTCCAAAAGCAAAATGCTAAGGTTGTATTTAGGATGTGAACTTCCCATGCATGGTAACAGTGCCCTGGTGGACTCGACCAGAAGCAGCTGTGCGGGACTGCAGCTGGGCTAATTAGCAGCACTGAGTGATTTGTGCCATCCAGCCCACCCTTTCCCTCAATGGTTAGATCACATGGAGTACCATGTAGGCACATCTGCGCTGCTTGCAAGAGGCAGCCAATGCGGGACACCACAGGAGGCTGGAAAATGCTGCTGTCAGGCCAGGTAAGTCGGCTGTATAGACGTGGCCTAGAAGAGCTTCATGCTACATCAATATACTGCACCTCTCCCATTATCATTTCTTTTCTACCAGCCTTTGACCAAAGCAGCCCAGGCCTCATTGCGACTACTCACTCAGTCAGAAGCCAAAAGCTGTCCACGGTTTCTCCTGCATTCTCAATGACGTGGGTGTTGATGTCTTCTATGGCTTGGTCAAATGCTCCTGGCTACAAAGAGGGGGAGAATCGTCAGATAAAAATGGTAATCAGGAATCCCAGGTGATGCTTCCTTTATATGCAGTAAATCATCCAACTGATGCCAAATGCATACAGGTGGCTCCTTCAAATAAAACCCAATTAACACCTGCAGGCACCACATCCCACACCCCAGCGCTAAAGGACCTATTCTTAACGTGGCTTCTAAGCAGGTTTTGTTTGAAGCCAAAACGACTCATCCCATCTCTACTTGCCTTTGTTACACAGAAATATTCCCATGACAGGGCTCATGGTATGTACGTGCCAATAAATGAATCGGGCTACCCTGGCTGTCCAGGTTCACCATGAGGTGACAGGGATGCCTATCCTGAGCAAATGGAGCATCATTCAAACAAGGATATTTTGGCTCCAACTAAAATAAATGCTAACGAAGCAGCCACACAGCTCCCCTGCTCTTATGGGGAGACTCCAAGATGGCACCTGAGATGGGGGACGTCAGATGGTTCACTAAAACGGCCTCCCAATTATTTAGATAATTATGGCACCATTGCAGTTGATTCTTCTGTGTGTGTGTGTGTGCATGTGTGTGTGCAAGTGTAAATGCCTTTCCAATTATTTAGATAATCATGACACCATTGCAGTCGATTCCTCTGTGTGCGTGTGTGTGTGTGTGTGTAAATGGTTTTCCACTTAGTTACATAATTGCAGTACCATTGCAGTTGATTCCTGTGTTTCTGTGTGTAAATGGCCTCCCAATTATTTAGATAATTGTGACACTATTGCACTTGATTCCTCTGTGTGTGTGTGTGTGTGTGTGTGTGTGTGTAAATGCCCTCCCAATTACTTAGACAATCGCGGCATCATTGCAGCTGATTCGTGTGTGCACGTGGGTAAATGCCCTCCCAATTATTTAGATAATCGTGGCACTGTTGCAGTTGATACCTATGTGTGTGTGTGTGTGTGTGTGTGTGTGTGTGTGTGTGTGTGTGTGTGTGTGTGTGTGTGTGTGTGTGTCTCTGTAAGGCAAGCTCTATGTTATAGCGCCTCTGTGTGTGTGTGTGTGTGTGTGTGTGTGTGTGTGTGTGTGTGTGTGTAATTCTGCTGGCATCAGCAAGATCCAAATCTGGTTGATATGACTTGGGCTTGTACGTAGTGTTTTTTAGAGAGGCCCACCAAAAAAATCCCAAAGCACCTCCCCCCAAAATGAAAAAGACCTGTTGTTTCAGGTACTTTTACAGCTCCCCAAAAATCACAGGAGTTCAACCTTTTTCTATTCTATAAATGGCGTGGAACTGCCATTCCTATAGAGCATCGCCGCTTGACCAAAAACCAGCCGTGGGCCACTTAAAACATCCTGAGCTTCATCCCACCTGACCTCCACGTCACATTTGCAGCGAGGTGCAGGACCAGGAGTTCCACAGAAATTCGGCTTTCCTAACGGCTGCGTGCACAGCTCTGGCTTTATAATCCCAAATCAGCTCAGCTCCAAAGAGACGCCGTTGCTTTACACAGGGGAGCACAGAGGAGTCCGACTGGCAAAGACTTTCCACCGTTGTGTGATAAGGCAAAGCATAATCCAGCAAGGTGCTCAGTGCCCTCACCTGTCTTAGCAAGCTTTCCAGGAGTCAATGCTGAAACCCAGTGAAATCAATAGGAATCTTGCCACTAATTTCCATGAAGCCTGGACCACCTCCTCAATTAGGAAAGGATAATATAGCCTTAGCACTAGGGAGGCTTTGGCCATCTACATCCAGCCACAGAAATACATGCGAGCTCAGGATGGCAGCACAAACTTGCTCTAGGCACCCCTTGATTCCTGGCTAAGGAGATGCTCACATGGGCAGTGTGATATTGGAGCTAGACCCCCATGGGGATATCTGATAGCCTGCAGCAAACCGCGTGTTGGCAAGATCTGAACCGATGTCTTAAGAGTCAAACGCATCTCACCGTATAACAGGGTGTTTACAGCCTGCTTATTAGAGTCCTGCTGCCTGCAAGAGAGCGCAAGCTAAAAAAAGGCGACAAGGAGCTGTTAATTAAATAGTAACCGATCATATAGACTTAGCTTTGTTCATCTGCATGTCATTTATGCTCTCAAGTTTCAATTTAGACATAATTTTCTCGCCTCCCCTTGCCCCAGCCTTTTGGCTTTGGAAAGTATCTGAAGGCAGCTCGTGGAAAGTATCTGAAGGCAGCATAAAAATACCTTCTCAGTGGAGATGAAGCATTGTTCCTTTTGTAAGGCACTGCTTTGGATCGGCAACGATCCTATTCATAACAGACCCCAAGTTGTCAGCCCGGGTGCTATTTTCTTCTTCCAGGAAAGCACGCTGCCCCAGTTTTAGATAAGAGCACAAATTAAAGGCCTCTGTCGAGATGCAGAGCAACTTTAGCTACCACTGAAACCAAAGAAACTCAAATTGCTCAACATCTCCAGGAGAACCGGGCTTATACAGCCAGTGAGCTCAAACAGCTGGGAGGCACCAGCCAGGTCAATATATTTCACAGGAAAATTGTGCAGTCCTATTTTGTAGCAACTGGCACTGGGGGAAAGGGGTTTTCTGCATTGCTGCATGCTAGCTTACAGACATTTCTCCTGAACCTTAACGGAGTCCTAAATTCGGGGCAAACTAACTACAGTAATTTAGGCAGAGATCTACTTTGGGCACTCCAATCACCCATGCCTCGCAGAAGAAACAGTTGCAGCAAAGCAAGCCTTGACTAACCAAGCCCTCGTTTATCCCCGCTGTAAGCAGGAACTAACTACACCAGTAAAAAAATGTTGCAAGGAGCCTGGCCATTGATTAGTGGAATTTAGGGAAATTCCCAGATTAGACAGATCCCTTTTTAAGACCCTTCTCAGTTATCCACGTGGATTTTGCATGGAGGGCTGCTTTCTAGCATGTCCTCCCCTTCCAAGTGACAGGACATACTAGCATTGCTGGATCTTTTAGCAGCACCCTCCATACAAAGACCTCAAAGTGATCTACAAATAATAAGTTGATCTCATAATGCTCCTGTTGAGGAGGAGACACGTTCTCCACTCTTCAGGGGTAGAGAGCTTGACGGGCCTGGTATTAAGCACATGCAGGTTTGGGCTATATTTCATAGACATTTCATAGACATTCGGGCTGGAAGGGACCTCGGAAGATCATCGAGTCCAGCCCCCTGCCCCAGGGGTAGGAAGTCAGCTGGGATCATAGGATCCCAGCCAGATAAACATCCAAATGTGTCTTGAAGGCGTTCAAAGTGGGTGCTTGAATTACCTCCGGCGGCAGGATATTCCAGACCTTGGGGGCTCGGACAGTGAAGAAGTTCTTCCTTATGTCCAGTCCGAATCGATCACAGTGGAGTTTGTGACCGTTCGACCTCGTCATCCCTTGGGGCGCTCTGGTGAACAAACCTTCCCCCAGATGCTGGTGGTCACCCCTGATAAACTTGTAGGTGGCCATCAGATCACCCCTGAGCCTGCGCTTTTCCAGGCTAAAGAGCCCCAGGGCTCTCAGCCTCTCGTCGTGAGGTCTGTTGTCCTGACCTCTGATCATGCGCGTGGCTCTTCTCTGCACTCTCTCAAGCTTCTCCACATCCTTTTTGAATTGTGGAGCCCAAAACTGGACGCAGTACTCCAGCTGCGGCCTCACCAAGGCCGAGTACAGGGGGAGAATGACGTCCCGGGATTTGCTTGAGAAGCATCTATGGATGCAAGCCAGCGTTTTGTTCGCTTTACTAGCCGCAGCATCGCACTGCAGGCTCATGTTCATCTTGTGGTCAGTCATGACCCCCAAGTCCCTTTCATCTGTAGTGCTAGCCAACATAGCACTGCCGAGCCTATAAGCATCCTGCATCCTCCTCTCACTCCCTCTTCATCTGAACCCACATTGGTGAGGTTTTTCCTCCCAAGGTGGAGAACCTTGCATTTTTCGGTGTTGAACACCATCAGGTTCTCATCCGCCCATTTCCTGAGCCTGTCAAGATCTGCCTGGATCACCCTCCTGTCCTCAGGTGTGGACGCTTTACCCCAGAGTTTGGTATCATTGGCGAACTTGGCCAGTCCGCTTCTGACACCAATGTCCACATCATTGATGAAGATGTTAAACAGTATAGGCCCTGGACAGAGCCTTGAGGGGACCCCACTGCTGACCGCGCACCAAGATGATTGGCTTCCATCAACCACCACCCTCTGGGTCCAACCACAGAGCCAATTCCCCAGCCAGCGGATCGTGGTGAGGCCGAGGCCACATTTAGCCAGTTTTGCCAAGAGGTGATCATGGGATACCAGATCGAAGGCTTTTTTAAAGTCAAGACATACAACATCAATCTCTTCCCCCTCGTCCAGGTGATAGGCCACTTGGTCATAAAAGGAAACGAGATTGGTCAAGCAAGACCTACTGCAACAAACCCGTGCTGGGTATCCCTCGGGATGTTGGCATTGACCAGTCTATTAAGGATGGCCTCTTTAATAATCTTTTCCAAGACCTTCCCCAGGATAGAGGTCAGGCTGATGGGCCTGTAGTTTGCTGGATCTACTTTCCTCCCCCTACTTTCCTCCTCCTAATTCATAATATGAATTACCATATCCAAGGGTGCTAGTGAGCATCGCCTGTTACTGCTAGCAGGCCTATATGTGGAAATCATGCATGCCTGGAGGAGACCAAGCTCATGGTCTTGTGTTTGTCCACTAAACCTAACTCACAAGAGACTGATTCAAATTGTAGAGGCTTATGGGCAGATCATCCAGGATTGTCTTTTAAAGCATTTGGAAATCCCACTTGTGCAAACTCAATTGCAGCACAAGAAAGGGCAAAAAACGTGGCGTGTACAAAGGCTGGTAATAAATGGGACACAGATACTTCAGAGTCACTTGTCTTTATTCTAGGGTAGGAGTGGACTGGACACACAACATGAAGCCTTACATGGCATCCCACTCCAGAGAAGTTATTCTTTGGAAAGAAAGGAGTTACTATACACCAGGGGTGCTCACAGCCCCCAGCCCATGGCCCAGATCTACGGGGATCCCCCATGGGCAATGGCTCTGTGTGCTAGATTGGGCACACAGGGTGGCACAGGACCTAATCCTGGTACACAGGGGCTGGGCAGGAGTGGTGTGGGGTCCCTGGAGCCCAATCCCAGTTGGGCAGGGGCAGCACAGAGTCCCAGGAGCTGATCCTGGCTCCATTCACGTGATTTCTTGGGGAAAAATGTGAGCACCACTGCTATACACCCAGACAAATTAGCAACACCGTACTGGTCCTGTGTGTGCTCCAGACAAGTTTCATTGTAGGGTGATGGCTAGTTCAAAGCAAACCGACTCTCCCACCACGTAATGACTGGGCTGTATAGTAGTGCACCCAGCAGACAACTATCTCAGGAGAACTGCTCATGTGTCTTGCTTCTTACTGTGGAATAAACTAGTTACAGAGTAAAATCCAGGGTAAATGGTTCCAGTAATTGTGTCATGTGCTCACATCTGTGTCATCAACCCAGACCCAAAGCCATCCTTAGTGCAGAATTGCAAGCAAAGGAAGTGACCTGGTGCCAGGGGTTACCTACCCTTGTCACAAAAAATTTCCTCGCAATGACCTGCTTGACATGAGGCCTTGGGTAAGAAGCAGATGTGGCAGATGCAGAGGGGTCCCTCGCGTCGGTAGCCAACCTGGGTTCAGGAACGTCCCCACCATGCTTCTCTTCCAGCTCTTCTGTCTCGAACTCCTGGTTGTTTTCCTCCTCCAACATGTCAACTGCCTGAAAAAAAAATCCCCAAGCAAAACAGACTTTTGAAAAGTCACCAAAATGTTTGATGGGATCCTTTAGATGAATGCTAAATGAAACGCAAGTGGATCCAGGCATTCAAGCTTGGCAAAAACAAATGCATGCTTAAACCCACTATTGTTCTCTGTGCTTTTGGCCTTCCAAACACCATTCCGCTCTGCTTGTTAATGGCACAGACATGATCGGACATGATAGTATTGCTGGACCCTTTAGCAGCACCCTCCAGGCAAAGATCTCAAAGTGCTCTACAAATAATAGCTCGGTCTGACAAAGTTCCCTTTGAGAAGGAGATACGTTCCCCCCTCTATAAAGTGGAGAGCTTGACTAACCTGGTCAGCATTTCCCAGGAGTCCTATAAAAGCATTGGAGAACGGGAGTGGAAGTTCCTCAGTCTCGGTCCTGTGCACCTAGGTCCACTATACATACACCTTCCTTCCTCTCCAGACACACCTGCAAGCACTATCCAAGCCTTCTGCAGTCCTTGGGGGTTATCACTTGGGACCTGGTCCCAAAGCAATTTGAGGAAGACCTGCTCGACAGAACCAAGTCTTGATGGTGAAGTTCAGCAGAAAGGCAATCGCAGCTTTCTCCCACATGCCTGATTCTTGAGTTATACGAAGCCCAGGAACTTCTCCTGGGGGAACTCACATGCTGAAATCAACCAGTCCAAGAAAGGATAAAGGGTAAAGTTGGAAGCAAGTAATGATAACAGCAGTAGCAGCAGATAATGATGCAGCTCAGGATACACAGCTGAAGTCTTTCAGGGGGTTGGTTTATGGCTGAATAGAGAGGGCTGGCCAAAAAGTGTGCTGGCTCTTCATCATTTCATAGTTTGTAGGGTTGGACGGGACCTGAGCAGATCATCAAGTCCGACCCCCTGCCATGGCAGGAAAAAGTACTGGGGTCAAATGACCCTGGCCAGATGTACATCCAGCCTCCTCTTAAAGACCCCCAGGGTAGGAGCCAGCACCACTTCTCTTGGAAGTTGGTTCCAGATCTTAGCCGCCCTGACAGTGAAGTAGCACCTCCTGATATCTAGTCTGCATCTACCCTCTGCCAGCTTGTATCCGGTATTTCTTGTCACTCCTGGGAGTGCTCGGGGGAACAGGGACTCCCCCAATGCCTGCTGGTCCCCTCAACCCGTTTGTAAATGGCCACTAGATCCCCCCTCAGCCTTCTCTTGTGGAGGTTGAACAGGTCCAGGTCCCGTCGCCTCTCCTCGTAGGGCCTGCCCTGCTGCCCCCTGACCATGCGGGTGGCCTCCTCTGGACCCGCTCCATGCTGTCCACATCCCTCCTGAAGTGCGGTGCCCAGAACTGGACGCAGTACTCCAACTGCGGCCTGACCAGTCGCATAGAGGGGGAGGATCACCTCCTTGGCCCTGCTCAAGATGCATCTGTGGATGCATGACAAGGTGCGGTTGGCCTTCCTGACCGCGTCCCCACACTGCCGGCCCATGTTCATTTTGGCATCAATAATGACTCCAAGATCCTTTTCTGCCTCTGCACTGACGAGAAGGGAGTTCCCCTGCCTGTAGGTCTGCTGCTGGGTCTTCCTCCCCAGGTGCAGCACCTTGCACTTGTCAGTGTTGAAACCCCTCCTGTTCTCATCCGCCCACCCCTGTAACCTGTATAGGTCCGATTGCAGCCTATTCCTCCCTTCTAGCATGCCCACTTCCCCCCACATCTTAACGTCATCAGCAAATTTGAACAGGGTGCTTTTTACCCCTTGTCCAAGTCACTGATGAAGATGTTGAACAGTGCGGGCCCGAGGACCGAGCCCTGGGGACCCCCACTGCCCACATCCCTCCAGGTCGAAAATGACCCGTCCACCACCACTCTCTGGGTGCGGCCCTCCAGCCAGTTAGTGACCCATCTGACCGTGTAGGTGTCGACACCACAGTTGCCTAATTTCTTTATGAGAACGGGGTGAGAGACGGTGTCGAAGGCCTTCCTGAAGTCCAGAAAGACTATGTCCACCGCGACACCTGTGTCTAAGGATGTTGTGACCTGGTCATAGAAGGCCACCAGGTTGGTCTGACAGGACCTGCCTCGAATGAACCCGTGTTGGTTGCCCCTAAGCATAGTCTGCCTCACTTGCCCCTCGGGGACACGAGCCAGAATAACTTTTTCAAAAAGCTTCCCCAGGATTGAGGTAAGACTAACTGGCCTGTAGTTTCCTGGGTCCTCCTTCCTCCCTTTTTGAAAATGAGAACCACATTGGCCCTTTTCCAGTCCTCTGGCACCTCGCCAGAGCACCACGAGTGCTCGTAAAGCCGTGCCAGGGGTCCCGCAATGACCTCTGCTGGACTACACAATAAAGCTTGTCCTTCTCTTTTGGGCTTCAGAACAAGACTGGATGCTCTTCTGGTGGAGATGCTTTAGCCGGACGCAAGCTGCCCAGTGAAACACAGAGGTAACAGGGTGGAGTCCTCTGCCCTGTGTTACTCAGGAGGTGAAACCAGATGGTCCCATGGTCCCGCTCGGCTTTAAAAATCTAACAGTCCTTGTGCAGCCCAAAAGGCTAATCCCTGGATCCTGAGCACCTGGTTTGTCCTTGGCTTTCTGTTAACCCTTGCTCTGCCTCTGAGGTCCCCTCTCCATACAAGGACGTTCCTGACTTCCCGATCAGGCTGCAGCTCACGCCCCGTGTACAAACAAAGCACTCCCTGGTGCCGAGGGAACAGAGCAGTGTCCCAGGCTCCCCTGTGCATGCTAACCCACACCGAGGGATAGCCAGGTATGCTAACTCAGCTGGGTTAACCTCAGGGAGGGAATGGGCGAGAGCAGCAGTGGCACTAAACTCCATTTCTTCAGCACCAGGTTTACCCCTAATGGATTTAATTCAAGCCGCTCATCTGAACCCACATTGGTGAGTCCCCATCACTACCTGAACCCAAGTTGGCCAGGTAGGGACATGTTTTGCAGTGCATGCATCCCCGCAGATAGAGCAAGCAGGATTCTCTCTCCCTGCCACGTCCTGCTGCTTCAATGGCTTATTGTGGCTATGCTGCGAATCCCTTGGCGTGAAAGATCGGGAAGAAATAGTCCCTACACCACTCAGTCCCTAAGCTGCCAAGCCAAGGGCAGTGGGGAAGGGGTGCATGTGGGGCAGGGATCCCCAGCTGGCAGACTTGTAGCCAACACTGCTCTGGACCTATACCAGGAGCAGATCCAGCCCTTTCAGCCAGAGGATCAGGGAGCTAGTTGGCAGAGTCCTGTGTTGCACATCAACTTAAATAGCTGGAGAACAATTTTTAAGCAAGCTTTCGGGTTCAAACCAAAAGCTTGCTTAAAAATTGATCTCCAGCTATTTAAGTTGGTCTAATAAAAGATATCATATTCACCCAAAGGACCTGGTCTGCCCATGTCCTTAGACCAACACGGCTACAACCAACACCCCCCTGTTGCACATCATGCGTTTGTATTTCAAACTGCCTGGGGACCCCAGTACCAAGATGAGGCCTCTGAAATGGCGATAAGCTAAACAAAGGCAGACGGCGGGAGTGTTGCTGGGTTCACTACAGAACCTGGGCTTCTCTTACAGTGGGTTGCAATGCCCACATTACAGATACTGTTGATTTTCTAATAGACTGGCAACACCTCAATGCGGTAGGCAGTGCAATGCCTCCCTACAGACCACCTCTGCCCCAGGTGGGACCCCCCAATCCCTGTTTTCCGGCCTGTGATGCAAATTCACAGAAGAGGAGCATCCCCCACCAGAGTCGTGTCCTAATACAGATCATCTCAGGCCACGAGAGACTTCTCTTGCAGTTGGAGCAAGCACAGAGCCCTATCCTTGCTGCTCTAGCTATTAACACACACGGATGATGCTGTCTCTGTCGCGGCTCCTGTGCCATCTGCACCCTTTCCTTGTGTTCGCTTCAAAGGAGGCCCAGTGCTTCGTGCACTCTTTGCACAAAATCCCGGGGAACTTCTAACCTCGACATTAAACAAAACAAAGTCCTTTGAATAGTTTGCAATTAACCCGAGGTCGACACAAACATCTTCCTTTCAGCCTTTCCGGCTAGCTGACCCGCCCACGTTCTTCTCCGTTCCCTAGCCGGCTGGCCTTCTGCATTGTCAGAGAACTGAGCAGCCCCTTTCCTGGAAAGTGCTTTGTATTGAAATCACAGAGACCTTTACTGCTAAGGTCAGCTACACAGAGCTGCGCTGAATTGTGCAATTTAGCCGTAAGGATCAGGGAACACCAGCTCCAGCACAGATCAAAGGAAGATATCAAAGAGGAGACAGTGCAGCCGGTCTCTCCGAGGCAGCTGTGCCCTGCTACAAGCAAAGTGGGGCGGCTAATGATGCTGGAAACCTGGACTACATTTTGATCTCAGTGCAATTTAAAATAAAACCACTGCCATCCTGCCAGTGGGCTTCCAACCCCAAGGATATTAGTCGCAAGAGCAAGTGCGGTGTGAAACCAAAGCCAAGGAGGTTGTAATGAGCTGCACAAGACCGTCATGCTTGGAGGCGGCATTGCTGGAAAGGTGCCCTAATCACTAGGTGTTGGTGTAAGGGGTGTGAGGGCCTTCCTCACTTCTCTTCCTCCATCTCACTGCTGACAGGTATGTGCACGGGGCAATTTTATTTGGTCACAGCGGGACAAAATCCCTAACGATGCTGACGGGCCATAACCTGCGGTGGTCGCAGCTATGTGCATGCCACCTAGGGCAAACTGCAAAGGCACCAAACCAGACCAATATGCGGGACATCCTGCAGCTGGAAAGCAGCTAGCACACTGGAAACGATGCATTTCTCCCTCTCACTGCCTACCTCTGGCTATCAGGCAGGTAAGACAGGTCATAACACCAACACCTGCACTGGTTAGATGGGAAGGTATGAAGCACTCTCCGGGATCTCCGCCAGCGGACGCACGGCGCACGTGAATGTGGCCTTTGTCCCATCCACAAATGCCACGATGATGCTGCTCAGTGGTGGATCTCAGGCCCCATA